CTCTTTCCTTCTACTTTAGTAATGTCAAGGTCCTCAAAATGCCTCTAAGGAAGCTCCTTTTAACAGAATGATACGTTTGCTTACTCACTGCTGTTTTAATTCACAAGGATGCAAAACCACATGTGGCAAAGGAATGACAGATGTGCTGGAAAGTGTTTCTTTTTGAGGCAGCGAATCAAGCTCAGATACAAGTTTGTATGAACTCCTTGGTTTTGTTACAGCAACTGCTGCCATTTTCCTGGCTAGGGGAAAAATTGGCTTCCACCTCGCTAAGGCATTTTAAAGCCTTCTTCCTCCATGCACTCACAACTGCCACTAAATGAAAAGTACTGGCAGAGCTGTGCAAGTAGGCAGTGCAATGCCTTTCCAATGCCTGTTGGGTTAATGGACCTGGCAGGTCACATATGTTCTCATAACTGTTAACGCTGCCCAGCAAGCCATTTTCCACGGAAAGGCAAACAGAGGGGCTTATGCTTATATGACTGTTATTAGTATGTGTTTTTCTAGGCTTAGCCAAAACGAGGAATAGATGTGAACAAATCAGGTTAAGCTTAATGCAGACAAGCTAAAGGGAGGTTTTCAGGGAAACTATCTACAGGACTTGTTAGGGACAGTATGTGCTCCATGCATTTAACATGAGTGCTGGGAACTTGTTAATGAGGTTCCTGAACTCTGCCTCCCATAGTTGTAGTTGCCTGCAGGGGCTTTTACAGTCTCCATTTGGGGAGAAAGAAACATTCTCTCCCTAGGCTTTTGTGACACTTTCCCCTGTTCTGGACCACTGAAATGCAATCCTTCTGTGTGCAGCCCTAAAGACTATATCATTGGGTTTGAGAGGCTGACTTTCCTATCATTTAAAGCAGTTTAAATCAGGAGCAATTCAACTGGCACTAATGGAGCTGACAACTGATATCAGGAAGACAAAAATCAGATGTTGAATGGCCTGCAGGAGATACTGGACACATTTTTTCTTTCACTTATTCTGTGTAAAGGTACCAATGAACAGAGCCATTTCCTCCTTACACAGATATAAACAGGGGTAAAAATCAGGCTCAATGCTGGCATCCCTAAAAGTAAAATTAAAAAAAAAAAAAATTAATATCAAGAGGCAAAATAAAACAAATATTTCAAAGGGAAATTGCATTTCATTTTGAAATTTCCAATTGAAAAGTTGCATCAAAGCCAAAGCTTTCCTGGAAAAATAAATAGATTTTGATGAAACTCCATTCCTTGGCAGGAATTTTTGGTCCATGTTTTGGTTGGCAAATGTTGACCCACTATCTTTCAAGCTGTATAGATGCCGTCTTGCAGCACTCTTAGGAAGATGTGATGTGTGCCTTCTACCCCAAGTGAGTAAGATTTTATTTTAAAATACCTCAATAAGAATTTCTATTAGATCAAAAAGGGAGAGATATTAACAATCAGAAGTGGGATTTTTTTTTGGCTGTGTGATGGACAGGGATCCTAGCTTTCTCCAATCAAAATTCCCCAATTTTTAGATTAAAAAGTAACCCAAAATCCACATTTTTCCACGATCAAAATGAAATACCACTATAGATATAGATCTCTATAGATCTATATCTATCTATCTATTAGGGTGTTTCATTTTGATAATGGAAAAATGTGGATTTTCGGATAATTTTTTAAATACGAAAATTGAGGATTTTTTTTTTTTTTTTTAAAATCAGAGATAACTTTTATATCCGAGAATTTTTTTTTAAATCTTTTTGTTCTCATTCTCCTCTAAACTTGCTTTAACAGGTGATGGGGTCCAGACACTTCTTGTTAACAAGCATCTACAACAAAGCAGGAATCTGATCTTTAACCATAACCAAAGGTAGAAGACAGTATGAAATATAGTCAAAGCAAATGTATTTCTAACAAGGCCTTTATTGCCTTTCCTTCGTCTGTTTTTATTCGCAATGAAATCTGCTGCTCCCACTCTGTTTCACCCAGTTATTTATGACATTCAGTTCTCTTCTCTGGCTCCCCTATGGCTCATCTGTAGTAGACACTGAACTAGCCTATCTGTAAACTGGAAGTATGGCCATTAGAGCTAGGCCTGCACTCGTTACCTCCACATTGGCAATGACACAACTAATACCAGAAGGAGCTGGGCAGAAATTTAATTTCAGATTTGTCAGATGGGAGTGATGCTCATATTACAGAACTGGTTTTACTCGGTCATTTCCTTGAGGTGCCAGCCCACGGCAGTTCTCTTGCAGCTTATTCCTGTGCACCTTCTGCTGCTCCTCTACCATCCCCTCTCCCCCACGTTGTATGTGCAGATCTTTCTCTCACTCTTTTCATATGAATTCAATCTTTTCCCTCAAGCCTTTTGTTTGCCTCCAAGCAGAAGCAGATGATAACTGAGTATCATTGTGCCTGTGGACCCACAAAGCACTGGAGAAGGCAACAGGCAAAAGCCTGTTATTCACAACATCATGCTAATCCTGTGCCACTGCTTTAGTGCTCTGTGGAAGTATGGAGCATAGGTACTTCATGGGAGTCTTTTTAGCTTGGGTGCTGAATAAATACACAGGTTTAGAGGGAAAAATTCAGGCTAACTGAGATCCCTAAATGTGGAATAAGCCATTTCTTTTCTTTCTTATTCTCCTCCAAGTTGCTTTAACAGATCTTTATTTGAGACTGATAACGGGTGAATTTCTGAGCTTGCATCAGTTTGAGATTAGTAAAGAAATAAGAGCCAATATTTTCAATGAAATTACTTCAGCCATGACGCTCAGGGCAGAATTTGACTCATCCTACCAGCTATGCAGGAAGATGCTAAGTAATTTTCCATTGTCCCACACTGCCAATGCCTCTGATCTCTCAATGCGCCTTTCAGCTGTCTGAGCTCTCCCTTTCTCATTCTCCACATCCTCTGCCTTCACTCCCCCACTACCCAAACTGGGTCAAGTGGCATGGCAGTTATGTGAAGAGGAGGCTTCACACCAATTTTCAGTCCTGACCTGCTTTAGACATAAGCCTACGTTGCAGGCAGTGAAAAACTAAATTTGCTCTTATTCCCATCAGCCGACAAACTTCTTAGATTCAATGGATTTTTGACAAAATCCAGACACTGCGGTATGTTTCATGTCAAGACTTTCACTGTAAGGATTTTGGTTCCTGTCCTTCAGTACAGGTAGACCTCATTTGCAAAGAACAGTGTGTAGGCATTCAAACTGACTCTCTCTCCGCCTGTCAGAGCTTCCTAGTAAACACCTGCTGTCTGATCTCTTCACTGTTTATCCAAGATCCGGGTTACATGAAACCCAAATTTGGCAACTTCTGATAAGCCCTGGTCTCTCCTCTTTTTCCTACATGGGACTGAGACACAGGCTAGTGTTCATGTATCAAATTTGGATTTTTCAGCCTGTTTATTTTCTTCCCCATAGACAAGTACCTCCTGCTGTTGACTAGCACAGCTGTAACACATCACAACCCAGGGCCTCTCTGAGATCACAATTCCTTCCAGGTGTAATAACTGGAGCCAATTACCTGCTGTCGACTGAGCAGTATATGTGCCAGATGCTTGCCCACTTCGGCCGACCGATGCAGGCACACCCCCCAAGGGTTGTCAATGACGTTGGCCACAGTGAGGAGTGAGGCTGGCCACGTCAGGGCTGTCACGATGCCTGTGAAGCACAAAGCAAACAGGACAACAAAGTTACACAGGAGAAGGAGTTTACTGTGTTTAAAAGCTGCACCCAGGACCTTTTGTCTACTTCAACTCTTCTTTCTCAAGAGTTGATCTCAGGAAGGCTGCATGCAATACTGCCTTCAGATGCAACCTATGCACATAATGTGCACAGACAGAGAGAATGTGGATAGGGAAAATGTGGGGACCATGATGCACTGTGTTACCATACGTGAAAGTGATGCGTGCTGGGTACACAGTGTCCAGGTAAAGCTCACAAGGGAACTGTGCACAGGTATAAGTGGAACACAAAGCAATTAAATGTGAGGCAAAGCAGAGCATAAGTACATAACACCTTCTGGAGCGTGAATAGATGTAATGCAAGCAGGCATTATGCTTGGATGAAATTTGCCCATAGGGAAGGCTTGTGTGAAGCACGTGATACAACCCAATAAAACACAGCTTGAACAGCATGGAAAGAAACAGCCCTACAAAAGGGAGAAAAGATGTTTCCAGCTGGGATTTAAAATGACAGGGCAAATTGACGAGGCAGAGAGATCCAGGAAGGCCATTCCTCATCACCACAGCTACAGAGAAAGCTCTCCCACCAGCCACATTCACAGTGAAAGGAGAATCCTTCCTGTCCACTGTGTCACTGGTCCTGGTGAATTTAACACTCACCCTGGGCGAACTCCCAGTGAAATCAATGGAATGATTTTCAGAGGTCAAGTTAAACATGTGGCTAAGCGCCTCTGTGGACTTGGAGCCAACGTTTGGAAGCGACTCTGCTCCTGGGACAATCCGCAACCACCAGGGCTGAAACTACCTGACCAGGCACCCCCACTGGCTGGGTATAACCCAGGTTCTTACCTGACAAGATAGTGTATTTCAGAGCTTCCTGAGCCATTATGTTAACCAAACCATTCAGCAGGGAATCCAGAGCATTGCCCAGCTCCATCAGGTACTTGGACTCCCAGGCCAGACAATACTGCTCGCTGGATTGCAACATGCTGGACCACGGTGCAGTGAAACTCCCTGTGAACACAAGGAATTCAGTTTTAGAGGAGACTGAACCACTGATTGGCCCAAGGGGCCCAGAAAGAAATGCAAAGCCTGCCAACTAATAGAACACCTAGGTCTTGCTCAATTCTTCGGGCGTTGTATTTGAAAACGCTAGTGGAGGTGGACACGTCTGCACAGACCTTTCGTTCTTACAGGATGCTGTGTTGGTACAAGGTGCATCGGCTTGACGGCTCTGAAGGCTCTTCCTGATCCAAACTAATCCAGTTCCCTGCAGCTGCCCTGCCAACTCGTCTTAAACCTAAAAGGAGCTACCATCCACAGGTCTCATCTCTGTGGTCCAATGCTAAGACTGCCAAGAAGGGCATCAATTAGTGCTGCTAATGGTGAATATTAAGGATATCCTTCCCACCAAATATAGGACTTGAATTTTATTGTTTGTATTCCCTACTCTTTTAGGCCAAATTCTGACAAGCCGCTGCAAGGAGTATAGCCTAAAATGGCTGAGAAGTAGGATTTTACCCTGTAGTGGTTTTTAAGTTCATTTAAAAGTCATTTTTAATCCCGAGGTGTACTGCAGAAAGAGCTGAAAATGTTCTGTGCCTGGCGGGAGCTGCTTAAACCTTGTCACATCCATCCCTTCACTCCCAACTGTTTTTCCTGCAGTTTAGGGTTGCTGGGTTTTTTTCACGCTTTAAAAATACTTAAATCTGCCACTTGTCTGCAAATATCCTAAGTATTACGATATAGTATATTATCTTCTTGGTACTTAGCTTTTGCATGCTGGCTCTGAATTAATAGAGCTATTGAAAACTGAGGAAGAAAAGCATTTAGAGACTCAGACTGCATATTTACTTCCATTTTATCCTCTAATCAATTCATTCTCTTTAGCCTGTTTTTTCCCCCCAGACACTAATCAAAAGCAGTAGTGCTTCCTGTCTGTGAGAGTGAGGAATGGATAATTCACACGGTGCCAGTATAATTGCTTTTTGGCTGCAAAACAGTAACTGTGCCATCCTCTCTTGTGTCAGGGATTCATGGGCAAGATGGTCAGGAGGGGAAATAGGCAATGTTCATACACCAACTAAATGGTGAAGGGGCAGAATAGGAGTTTGGTTTCTTAATATATTAAGACGCCCTATTATAATTCCCTTACTGAACAATACACAGCAGACTGACTAACCCAGCTTCTACCCTAGCCCCTGCCAGCGTGCCTCAATCCTAAAGTGGAGCTTATGAACATATCCAGACCACAGATGCACAGGTGCTGTTTCATTGTCGCTGAACTGGAAGCAGCGGAGCCTACTCTCTGATACGTGGGGGACATGGATAGAGAACTGGACTGGGAAGAAGGACGGGCCAGTGATTAAGGTCCCAGCTCACGACTCAGATGACCAGGGCTCTGTACCTGCTTTTCTACTGCCCTCCCTTGGGCAAGTCACTAGATCTGGATTTTTAAAGGAGTTTTAGATGCCAAAACATGCAAACAGGCACCTAGGGGGATCTTAAAAAGCCCCTTTGTGAGTAACTCCTTTAAAAATAAATCAATCAGTCTCCGTGCCACAGCTCCCTAGATGGAAAATGAGGATATAAGCACTTCCTGAGGAAAAAGACATTAAAATTTGTGTGGCATTCAGATACTACAGCAATGGGAGCCTCATAAGTACCTCAAATATGCAGACAAAGCTGTTAAAGGAGGCAACTGAAGAGCTGTTTTATTTCTGAGGTGCTAAAGTTCATTACAAGTTGCTTGTTATGGAAAATCCCACAAGAGTTCAGATCATCTGTAACTCCCTTTTAAGGGCAAATTGAGATGCAGATTCATTAAATAACCTGCTAAGTAACAGTGCCTGGAAAGCCTCCAACTCCAGCAAAGTCCGACCCCTTGTGCAATCTCAACACATTTGGACATAAAAAAAGAAAATAATAGAAAGGGAAAGCAGAGGAAGTTTCTGACCTGCTGATTTTGTCAGCGGTCTGGATACAACAAAGAGCAGCACAAAGAGATGTCCTTCTAACATTTCGGATACAGAGTATTAGTGATGATGGCCCTGAAGGGAAAAAGCTGGCAAGCCGTTCAGCCAGTTTGCTGAATGCCTCGGCAGCAGATGGTTGACATATTTTACGTGACAAGTTACAGGTGTGAGATACTGTAACATCACATTATCCATTTTCCAAGGTTGCAAGCTGTTAGCTCACCTCCTCAGCACTGCAGCGCTGTATTTAACATGGTTTACTTGACAGAGCCTTCTTGCCAATAAACCTCATTAGCAGGCACAGGCTGGGAGAGAAAAAAACCTGCCTTCTATTAATTGCCCATGGATAAACATGAATCCTGATGACTGGCTAAGTCATTTTGTGTCTGGTACTGGAAAGGATCCATACCAGGCAGATTATCTCAAGCAAAGACTGAGGTAGGGTTTATTAATAGAAACATTCTGGTTTTTGTACAACCGTCCCTA